AGCGGCCCCCGCGGTCAGCGGCCCCGCCCCAGTGGCTGCCCGGGCGAGCGCCCTTCACGGCTGCACAGCATCTAAACGGCGACGTCCGCGGCCGGAGTTCCTGATGCCCTGGAGGGGGCGCTGCAGGGACGCCCCGCGGCGAGTGGCCGCCGGGTAAAGCAGGTCCAGCTGACGTGACGCCGAGCCGTCCCTGGCGGTGGCCGGCCTCGGCCAGTCTCTGCGCCGGTCTCGCTCCCTCGCGCACACACACATTGTGGAGAAACAGCGGCGAGACCATGGACTCGCCCCGGGGTGGCCCGGCCTCGCGCCGGGGACGCCCGCACGTCTGTTTGAGCGTCGGGAGGGACGCAGCCCGCGGGAGCGCCGAGAGGCCGTTGTCCAGGGCGTGTCCAGCGGCCACGGAGCCGGCGCCAGACGCGCTCACAGCCCCATCCGACGGCGCGGCTGCCCGGTCTGCCGCAGACGCGACCGCGGCCTCTGCAGACAGGTCCCGGCGCTGGGCACAGGATACTCTGATGGCCAGAGGTCCCTGGAGCGAGCTAGAGCGAGGGGGGCAGGGCCACCGCTCCGCCGGACAGACGCGACTGTACACAGCACCAGGTGTCCCGCGGGGCGCTGCCCCGTCCCTGCGGCCCACGCTCTGCTGTCTGTCAGGACCGCCGCCGGCCGCGACCCAGTGGACGCCCGCCCCAGGCCCAAGCTGGGCACCGGCCTCACTGCTGGTAGTTTCCGTACTGACCCTGGAAGAGAGGCGGACAGTGGTGGCCGGCACCGTTCGGCCGCCGACTCCCCCGCCCCTCGGCCCCGCCCCCCAGGCCAGACACGCGGCTGCCGGCTCTGAAGCGCCGTGGCTGGCCAGCCCCAGGGTCCCACGTGCCGGGCCCCGCTGTCGGGAGAGCTTGCCTGCTCGTAGCCGTAGGGCCGCTGCTGCTGGGCGGACGGGCCCGCCTGGGAGGCCCGGTAGCTGCCGTACTGCTGGCCCTGGCCCTGCTGGTAGCCGGGGTACTGCGAGGGGGCGCCCTGCGCCGGGCCTGCAACGACGCG